TAGAACATATACCTCCCAAGCGGGTCCAAGAGATGAGGCGAGATTTGAAACAGTTAAATCCTGAAAATTTTGTGAACGAAGCTCAAACCGTACTTGATAATAAAATCTCTTCCCCACCAATTGGAGCTGATAACTTTAACACATTATTTGATGAATTCATCAACAAACTCGTATATTTAATTGACAAACATGCCCCATTAAAAAAATTAAGTCTAAAAGAACGCCGCTTGATGCAAAAACCGTGGATCACTCATGGGATTTTACGATCTGCTAAAATTCGAGTCAAAATGCACAAATCTTTATTCATAAATGGCACTGATGTTGAAAAGCGACAGTATAAAAAATACTCCAATACCCTGTCTCATAATAAAAATAGAGCCAAAGATAATTATTATGCTAAATGTTTTGACAAACATAAGAATGACTCTAAAATGACCTGGAATACCATAAACTCTATTATCAATCAAAAAAGTAAGAAATCCCATCCTAACTCGTTATATGATGTGAATCGAAATAAATCCATTCAAGATCCAAATGACATGTGTAACCTTTTTAATAGATATTTTTCTCAAATTGGTCATTCTCTTGCCTCCTCATTCTCCAATAATAACAAACATGAGTTTTTTAAGTATTTGAATCCCCCTAATAGATCATCTATGTTCTTGGAGGACACCACCCCTTCTGAGATTGAAGCTGTTATTAATTCTCTTCAAACTGGAAAAGCTGAGGGGCATGACCATATCTCCATATACTTACTCAAAATGTTAAAAACTATTGTTAGTCTAATTTTATGTAGATTTTTCAATACCTCTATGACTATAGGAATATTTCCATCCCATCTAAAGGTTGCCAAAGTAGTACCTGTGTATAAATCTGGTAACAAGAATTATGTGTCAAATTATCGCCCCATCTCAATTTTATCCTGCCTTTCGATTCTTTTTGAAAAATTATTACTAAAACGCCTAAGTTCCTTTCTAGATAAATATTCCATACTAAACAACGACTAACATACCGTACATACATAGATTATAAGTGTTCTTCGGTTAGTGTAGAAAAACATCCATAAATCGCAAAGATAAGGATATTAACTAGCATCCCTTCGTCATCTTGTGTAGATCACACGGTGTTGGGTATATGTTCTTTTTTATCATTTGCCTAATCATTTCAGCACTTGCATGTTCACAAGCAACTTCTCTTCTTGAATATCCTAAACAGGTCACTATATGCCCAGTCTCCATGTCCGTGCAGCCGCAGTTTCGATCGTGCCAGGCATCCCACGACGAACAATTTATCTGATGCTCGGCATAGTATTCCTGAAAAATGTTAGATTTAACATTATACCAAAATTGTTTACTCATGTGCAACGAACAAAATATTTCATTTGTAATCTGTTCAACAATCACAATTTAATTGTCTTTAAATGTATATAGACATTACACACTAAAACCTTTTGCCGGAAGTTTTCATTCGCCAATCTTTCAATTATGGCCACAACAATGTTTCGATCGTTTAAAAACGTATATCGACGAAAATGTTCTCATGGAAAACACGCATTTTTTCGAGGTTTGCATTCACATTATGAACGTTTTGATCCTTATTTTATTTTGAATATTTTATTCTCTCATTTGTACTTCTTTCCTCTTCTCTCACGTGTGATCGAAAATGCGAAGTCGAAATAGGACTGTTTCCATTTATATGCAATCAGATCAAGTCAAGCTTTCCAATATCAACCGGGAAACCACTTGGAAATTGCCGTTTCATACGAATTGAAAATAAAAGGGATTACTATTTTTACGCTCGGACTTTCCGCCAAATATAGTGCATTTCGGTGCTACATTTAGTATCAATTTCCCTATTGGGCTAGATCTGAGCTATTCAACTATTTTACCAGAAATCCGTAAACAAAACTTCAAAATTACTGGGGTCCGGTCTTTACAGAAAAATATATTGATACATCCTTAAACACGAACTTCTTCGGCCGATTAATGATCAAGATAGCGCTATTTGCATTGTTTATTATGGCGTTAAAGTTCTTGTCATATATAGGTGCAAATATGAGCAAATTATTAAACAACCTCCAAAACTATGAGTAATTTAATGAAAAGAAATCTTCACCTCCATTCGGTGCGGTCCGAATCGAATACTCGGAAGGTCCGGATTCGACCCGCGGCCCGCCAGTTGAGTAGCCCTGTAAGTTGTTTTTGTAAGTGGGTACCGGTAGTCATTTTGGATTTGTGTTAGGGCAGCAGGGTGGTGAGTATTAAATGCCATGCCTAATTTGACTTAGTAGTGTGGAATTGTCCACTATATGACTATGCACTGCGGTATCGTACCTGACTACAGTTCATTTGGGATATTCCAAATTGATCAATTAACAGCAAATACACAATGTCAGAATGTACAGACAGACAGATGTAGGCCATAATTTGCTCTATTCAATTTGACATATTTCATGATTAACTGAAAATGCTGAAATGGGGTCTATATCATGTAGGTACAGAAATACCGGACCCTAATAATCTTGTAATCATATGGAATTTTCTTGAGCCTTGACGAACCTCATGTAATCACGAACATGTAATTGAATATAAATTAATGCACGGTAATATGTTATGTTATGACTCCCGCATACCCATTGCTAGAAAACGGCTTGTGTTTCCGAACACAATATACCTCATGCTACTTATCTTTTCTACCCATGTTTATTTGTAAACACTAATGTAGATTAAACTCGCATAGGCTGCCATTTGCAGTCATTGCCTCATACTTCGCGGCGGCAAACTTTGCGTCGGGCGTCATTTTTATAGATCTTGAGATGATTTCCTCTCAGTGATGCATAATACTTTTCACCATAATTCTGCAATTGAATCGCAGGGAGAATTTAAAGAGCTTTATTTCTACATAGGAAACATCAAGCAAACAGCAAGAAAGATGTAGCATTATATATATATAAAATATTTTTGTATTACAGAATAAATTGAATAAATATTACAAGCACTGAGAAATGAATTTACATTTTAGGTAGTTTTAATATTTTAAGTTTATCTGCATCGTTGTTTCGTATGGTTCATTTAACGTGAATTACGTCGTCATTGCAAAATGTTCCACAACGCCCCAATAAAACATCTTACATTATTCAATTGTCATAGTTGGGCATAATACAAGTGCATCCCGTAGAATTTATCACCTTCTCTCTAATCCAGCGTTTCTTTTTCCGAAAATATACTTGAACCGGGACCTTAATTTGGACACTTGCTAGACTTAAGTCTTCTTGGCGAGTTGCCGGATCTATGCATCCCTTGCAGAGACATTTTGCGCTTAAAATTACCCTCGGGCGTCTGTAAAATGTAATTTGTTTTAAATTACCTAACATTTGATTGTGACTCCTGTATTTGGTATCAGTGATGTTCCACTAATTATATAAAATACCTGTATTTGATTAAAAATGACCCAATAATATTACGTGAACCACGGGGACTTTAGTTTGGGGATAACAAGTAAAACACTTGAATTTTTCCCCTAGACAAGACAATATGGACAGCGTGTATTGCCCACGGCATCCAAAAACGGGAACTCGATAATCAATTATATATATATATATCATTAAATGCTTTTTTTTTTATCACACAAACACGTTTGATATATATGCCAAATGCTTTGATAAAGTTCGTGATCGCAAAAAAAAAAACATCAATTGAATAGGAAGTAGGAGATACCTGTTTGGATCGATGTTTTTTTCGAAAACCCACGGAGATGTACTATTCATATTAAATTTATATCCATTGCCAGGCGAAGGACATTTGTACTTTCTGTTGCTCGGAATGACCTTCTTTACACGTAGAGGATAATTTAAATTCATTTTGTTTGAAAAGCGATTTTTACCAACATGATCTTTTACAGGCGAGCAAGTACAATATTCCAAAACTATTATTAAGTATAGAAATCTTGTCACCAAATTCATGTTGTTCTAAGAAGCAAGATTTTCTATTCCAATAAGGCGATTTGCAAACTCATTTAAATTACCGCAGTCTGTTTCATGCTCAGTCATATATATTCATGATCATATATATATATATATCAAGATTTACATGCGGTGTTTTTTACATGGTTTATCCCCTGTTTGGTAGTTTTCCAACTGGTTTCCCTGACCGTATAATATTGTCTTCATTCAGTTACCGACCAAAGCAGAATGGTGCATAAACATTTTCATCGTTTACAGTACAGAACAATAGTATAGGCGGCATTGTCCGAGACAGGAAATCATTCAAGTAATCAACGATTTGAATGATTACCCAAATGACAGTTTCATTACATATTGTTATTACTTATTACGTAAAATTGGAACGTGAAAATTCCAGGACATTCATTCAATATTAATAAATAATGTACGGACTTGAAAAATGAAGTTAAGATTTGGGCATCATTGGGAAAAATAAATTTTTTTATGAACGAATTACGTACTTGGAACTTCTTTGAATTTTCTAACGTCTACATTTTTCCACGGTATTTTTATTGAATTGTTGAATATCAACAAAAATGAATCTTTGGAATTTTTTTCATGGATTAGGGTCAAAAAAGCAGTTTTAAAATTCAACGACAAATTTAGAACAACAGGGTTTTGAATAAAATTCAGGGTTTTGTCCCGGACCTAGGAGACAGTTGAACATTTTTATAAGTTTTTTTACATCCTCTTCATAAACAAGGATCATTAATTGCAGCCACTGAATACGCAAGAAGCAAAGTCCTGAAATTTGAAATTTTCCTAGTTTCGCATTACCTAACCAATTTTTCACATCCCTTGACACCACGGACACATTCATTACCTACTAATTTTTTACACCCTGCGACACCAAGGGAACCGGCGTCGCCAACACAGCAGGTACAACGCTAACAACATTCAAGTAAGATATTATAAACATAAGCGCACACAACAATATTTCCACACAGTATTCGCTTAGTGAATAATTAGTTTATATTTCATGCGTACATACATAGATTATAAGTGTTTTTCGGTTAGTGTAGAAAAACATCAATAAATCGCAACGATAATGATATTAACTAGCATCCCTTCGTCATCTTGTGTAGATCACACGGTGTTGGGTATATGTTTTTTTTTATCATTTGCCTAATCATTTCAGCACCTGCATGTTCACAAGCAACTTCTCTTCTTGAATATCCTAAACAGGTAACTATATGCCCAGTCTCCATGTCCGTGCAGCCGCAGTTTCGATCGTGCCAGGCATCCCACGATGAACAATTTATCTGATGCTCGGCATAGTATTCCTGGAAAATGTTGAATTTAACATTATACCAAAATTTTTTACTCGTGTGCAACGAACAAAATACTTCGTTTGTAATCTGTTCAACAATCACAATTTAATTGTCTTTAAATGTATATAACATTACACACTAGAACATGTTGCCGAAAGTTTTCATTCGCCAAACTTCCAATTATGGCCACAACAATGTTTCGATCGTTTAAAAACGTATATCGACAAAAATGTTCTCATGGAAAACACGCATTTTTACGAGGTTTGCATTCACATTATGAACGTTTTTGATCCTTATTTTATTTTGAATATTTTATTCTCTCATTTGTATACTTCTTTCCTCTTCTCTCTCATGTGATCGAAAATGTGAAGGCGAAATAGGACTGTTTCCATTTGTATGCAATCAGATCAAGTCAAGCTTTCCAATATCAACCGGGAAACCACTTGGAAATTGCATCGTTTCATACGAATTGAAAATAAAAGGGATTACTATTTTTACGCTCGGACTTTCCGCCAAATATAGTGCATTTCGTTGCTACATTTCATATCAATTTCAATATTGGGCTAGATCTGAGCTATTCAACTATTTTACCAGAAATCCGTGAACAAAACTTCAAAATTACTGGGGTCCGGTCTCTACAGAAAATATATTGATACATCCTTAAACACGAACTTCTTCGGCCGATTAATGATCAAGATAGCGCTATTTGCATTGTTTATTATGGCGTTAAAGTTCTTTTCATATATAGGTGCAAATATGAGCAAATTATAAAATAACCTTCAAAACTATGAGTAATTTAATGAAAAGAAACCTTCACCTCCAGTGATCCAAAATAAAGAATTTGGCGCGGTCCGAATCGAATACTCGGAAGGTCCGGATTCGACCCGCGGCCCGTCAGTTGAGTAGCCCTGTTCTAGATCAGTGATTTTAAATCGAAATCCCGCCATCACAGTCCAGCTCTTGGGATTCCGCAAATTTGCACTCAAATTCGAGAGTAATACAATTCAGACAATAAAATGCGATGGAACTATCGTACTCCATCGCTATCCTCGATCCTATGGAATGTTTCCTTGGGGTTCCGCTCAAAAAAAGTTGAAATCCACTACTAGACATTTGATGATGAATAACTCACAGCAACACACTGAATTAGGCATATTTTTAACATCAACAGTAATATACTCTTTTATACACGTTTTAAATAAAACGAAAATATTTGAAATATATATTTTCCTTCCAAAAATATATTCCACAATCGTCTTTTGATTTGAATGATCTGCTCGTAAAGACTACTACTACCGCAGCGCCGGATCATGGCCTTTAGAGGCCCTAAGTACTGAAGACTTTGGTTCTCTATACGCGAGCTTGTTTAAAATATAGAAATATGAATGTAACAAGTGTTCCGTAATCTTAGAAATTGAAATTAAGTCTCAGTATTCATTGCTAATCAAAAGCTGAAATATGATCAATTCACATATTTTTTAAAAATATTTCTCACGCCTATAAACATTTATAGCGGTTTAAGATGGTACTTGATGTAGAGAAACAATCAAAATTCATTTCAACCGAACCATTATTGAGGTCTGAATCGTCTGACTAATTTGACAAATCATTTCATTAAACACTGAGACTCTATTTCAAACCCGACGATGAAAATTTCTGTGGTCCCCTTTTCCGTGGTACCTGAGCACATGCTTATTTTAGCCCTGTCTACAATATTCCTGCATTATTATACACCTACAAATCCGTCAGCATATTAGAGCTAGACTAAATGGATCAAGTCTCGCGTTGTAACCCAAAATAATACTTCCAGTAAAATCGAATATTAACAGTATTGAAGTTACGATGAAATGCTATTTGAACGTTAAATGACTGACGCTTTTTAATAGTGTTAAAAGTTACGGTGAAATGCTGTTTGAACGTTTAACGACTGGCGCTTTCTAACAGTATTACTGTAAAAAATCGACAGTCCTTGAATACTTTAATGGCATTTCCCAAGCATATGCTTATTTTGTCTAATGAATAATCCAGCACTGGGCACTACTTGGAATTTGGCGTTTTTATTTCATACACTTGAGTGCGTTTGCAATTTTCATATACCAATTTCACAATATTTTGAACGGACCTATTTGATCAAATTTTGTTTTACTTACCAGAAATTGAACATCGGTCATTTGTCCTTCTTTTTGCATTATTCTCGATTTGAATTGAATCCAAGATGTAGTTTGTTCGCAATATTCGCCAGTTTCACATTCTTGACAATTGCATCTCCCAAATGCACTTGACCATTGTGAATTGTTCATACAGACGATATCAGTTTCTCCCTATTATATATATATATTTTATTGAATAACGTCATAAATTTCATAACCAATGAAGTCATATTCACTACAGACGCCATAATCGATATCGTTTTAATTGTTTCAAATTTGGTGACAATCAGTACTTACTAACGTCTGAGAAACTACCATATACACTAGTGATGGCGCATCTTTTTTTAATGAACGGTTCAAAAAATATATTTTTATCTCGGGGAAGTAAAATGTGAGTCATAAAATTTAATCAATGAGATTTTCCGCAAGCCATGTAATTCATGGTTGGTAATGAGAGATTGGAGCTTTCCATACTCTGATGTACTCTGATGATATCTGCTGGGACACGATAATCCCTGTACCTGTACTATACCAATTGAATCAATCGGCAGTCATAACTCCTTTCTGCTAGAATCTGCTACAGTTATAGCAGTTAAGGTTGTATTCAAAGTTGTTGAAATGTAGGTAGTAGTTTTAACAATAGTTCTTATAAAGCGTAAAACATAATAATAAGTTAAAAAAAAAATAGTTCGAATTATACTTTTAAGTCCAAACAAGTTTCGGGGATAAACATTTTTGAAGTTTGAGCGACGCGCTACCCATAGATCGACTATCGTTTTGTATATATATATAGGCAGGGATGTGAATGATTGTGATAAAATCGTGAATGTTGTAAATCCTACCTCTAAGATATGATTTTGTGTACAAGCAACACTGCAGTTGGATCCAATGGAATAACTTCTATCTGTACAATTTAACTTCCCATATGGAATTGGAGGCGGACGGTCACATCCTGAAAAGATAATATATTATACAAGCGAAAAAAAATGCTGAGGCATTTGTTTCATGATTGTCATTATTCAGTAATTACAACAAAATGTCTAAAAATATACTTATTGGACACGAAATAGACCTATAGATCGTTTTGCTAAATTATTGTTGATGTTGTTAATTTTGGGATTATTGTTGTTGGTGGTGAAATTCTCCTTTTTCTGCGACTAATGGACAAATCGATTTCAAATTTCGAGAACTTAATTAAACATGGTCTAACCGTTGGAAGGTCATTTTAAAAATATATAGATTTTTCGAAATTTTCTTTCTGAGTCTAATAGAACTCGGTATTTTTGCAATCAATATTTTGTATTTAAATTAAAATCGAACAGTTTTTATTCTATCGTGCACTTGTTTGTCAGCCTTTACAGCAAAGCAAAGTCAGTGCCTTACAGTTTAAGTTTCAATGCTACCGGTACTGCCATTTGTCATTGAACCATCGTTTGAACATATATCGCTTTTTTAAAGATTAACTAATGTGGGAAAAACCGGTCGAAAGAATTATATTCAACGAAATATTTGGCTGTCAGCGGTAGTAAACTGCATATTTAGGAAACGCCTATTCAGACATTGTTTTTTTTACACTTCATCATAAAACCATAACGTCAAATTAATGTACACGATCACGATATTTATACCTGTCTTCTCCTTTTTTCCAGATCGCGCAACAAGCAATCTAGAAGCGGGTTGTGATATTGATTTCAATCTCTCAGCAATTACTGCAAGTGCAAATTTCATAGCTGCATTCGATTGTTTTATTTCTACGATTAAAATAAAAGTTTCAATCAGCAAGTAAATTTTGAGACAGATTTTGATGTTTTTTATTATCGTTTCGAAAGTAAACCACATCATAACCTACCTTTTTTTAAACTGCCCACTTCGTTTTCAAGTTGAAGAATTCTAGATTCAAAATTATCCACATTTTTTCGTTCACGTTCACAACTGATGGGAAACTCTTTCATTTGCAGATATGATTCAATGTCAAAACTAGGATCGTTCAATCTCATGGGTTCGTTTTTACAATCTCCATTTCTACATTCTGGTTTAGGTTTGCATTGAAATGTTTCCTTTTCCGACTGGATTTGTACAACTACGCATGAAATTAAAATGTATTGAATTTCAGAAAGCCACATTTCGACATGAATATCTATCTCTTTAGCCGTTCTAAAATTAAGAATACTTGCAAAAAACAAAATTATATACTGTGAGTTACAAGAATGGAAATAGGTTGCTTTAATGAAAATAAACTTGTTTGACATTTCTAATACAAATCACAACCTGGACCCAAGCTAACGTAAGCGTGTAACGTATTCTATTATTAATCTGTCTTCAAAATGATAAAAAAGATGAAGAAATTAGGCTTTTTAAATATTCTACCAAGAACTCCAAAATCACCATATTTCAATTTGTTATTTCAACATATTTGGAAATTTCAACACGATATTTTTAATGATACAGTGAATCACATCAATCTCCACGATTTTACTGTAACAAATAACCTATGTTATTTATACACTTCTCCCCTCCAAAATTTTAATCGAATTTCTTCAACGTGAATCTATACCTGATACATGACCATTTCCCACTTACCAACCCATTCATTGTATTGTGGTCAACTCTAGATATCTCAGATTGCTTTGCCTAAGGCTAGTTGATTTGACTCTATTTTATAACATTGCACCTTATCACAAATTGAATCAAATGGAAATATTCTGCGTCAAAAATCTTGTCCCAAAGGATGTATCGTCCGTGGAAGCACCCGAAATACACTCCAAGTCATATGTGCAAATGCATAAACCATATACGCAATAAAAACAATTTTACTCTTTTGCAGGCAAGTCAGGTATTGACAAACTATTTCATAGAGCCAATTAGATTATTACGGTTAGGGTTTTGATTTTTATCAATTCTAAACAAAAACATCGTGTTTTAAAACAAGAGCTTGTTTTAAATCAAATTTTTTCTGTATTTTCTGTCAAAAACGTTGCATTCTGGAATCTGCACACGCAGTAGGAATTATAATTTCAAAAATGTGAGTAAAAAAATGTAAGATATCAGAGAGACGTTTTGAGTTATAAAAATCATGAAAATTAGCTCACGAGCCTACTACAAAAGCAATTAGATCAAGTGCAGCCCTTCGGCAAAACGAGTGAGTTGCGATAATGAAGAATATGCTTAAATCGGCGGTAATCTACTGATATGAACGATGAGACAGCCTAGCCTATGTTTATTGTAAGAGTCCTCTGATGCAAAGACGCCTCAACTAATCTGTTATGACGCCATAATATGGATTTCGAGTTCATGTATTGACATTTTTCTCATAATATGAAGGAATTATTACAGTCAATACTGTCCGGTAATTTATGCTTAGCTTATTTGGTTTTTAAGGTTGAAGTGATAGAGTTTTTCAAGGTTGTAAAAACTCATTTATTTGATCGCATTTCAATTTTCGTGAGGTGGTTTCATCGCAGCAGGGTCGTTCACGTAATGGCTTATCGGTTGCGTCTTACTGCACCAACCACTGAGCTTGACAAGGTGTGTATGAGCCTCTATCGATATCTGTGGTGTTTTTAAAGATTTATTGCAAATAAGAAGCGCTTGGCGAGTTTTTACATCCATTTTTCTTCAACCTATTTAATACAAAAAAATCAAATAGTACAGCCATTTTGAACAAAACAGGCAAAAGAAAAACTTGATTTAAAACAATTGTTTTAAAACAATTCTTTTTGAACAAATCCCTAATTACGGTTGACGATAACCGAGCGAGAATCGAGCAGGAGCGTTTTTGCCAGTATCTGATTACTAATTTTAATCCTGGTGATTTTTGGACACGAAATGGACACTTCATATTGATTGATTTGCCAAATTCTTGTTATCGTTGAGGTTTTTTTTTCTTTGCAACAAATAGACCAGTCGAGTTCATTGATTTTATTTGAGTTCGTGGTTCACCTAAAATTTGGCTGCTTAATTTTGATTATTCATTTGAATGCGCATTGAGCACAGGGTGTATCTATGCAAAACAACATGCAGTTCTAGAAGCAACGAAACCTTCCTGACCTTTGATTGAACTAATTATTAAAAGTGGGCCGTAGGTTAAGGAAACTTACCATGGAATAGAACTGACGTTAGTCATTGTGAAACTACAACAAATACACTGCGCCAAAATTTTCAAATGTCACCGGAAAGTAAACTTTTGTAGTTTGTAAATTGCACTAACAAAAGTCCCAAATGGAATTCCCAAACATCATCATATCCAAACTGTTGTCAACAACAAACATTTTATTTGCTATAGTAAGTTTACATCTGAGTTGGAATCCAATTCTTTGTTCGAAATGTCGAGGAAATATCTTGCTTTGAGAGGTATAATGGTAGTTTTATTGTTTATTTCGTGTCAACAAGATGAAAAAATCGTAACAAAAAAAATATAACGAACAACAAAAAGTCGGTGCATCCCGTCTGCACCTGTTCAGGTAAACTACATTTTAATTTTCTGCTTGCTATATCCATGTTGAAATACTATCGTGTTAAAACCAACGTTGTTTGGAAAGTCAAAAGAAGATTTAATCTTGTATTTTCCCTCTTTCCTTCTGTATGACAATGATTAAGTCGTCTATTTGTACAATATATGTATGCGGGGAGAAGCAATATCCTTTCTTATCATATTCCGCATTTTGAGTCGTCAAGAAAATGGAAAGATATTTGATTATACAATCAATTCTTTGATAATTATCAAATTATAATTTGTGTAGTATTGTAGATATGTATATCTGAAGTTTATGTGACTCAAGATGTCAGGGAAATATCATATACAGTATTCAGGGATGATTTCGGTTTGTATATCTCAAGTATTGTTCTTGGTCCGTTGACGGTAGGATATACAGTTTGCATGCGGCCAAGGATTTACATACAAGCGTAAAAATTACGGCATGAGTCAAGTTTCGTTTCATTGATATCATGTGGTATCCATTTTGTTTTCACATATTACTTTTCTCGTAGTGGGATGCGACTAGTTTTATTTTTCGTGGTGTTTATTTTTTAAAGGTTTGATTATGTTTATTTTTATTAGACACCACCTGTATATATAGATCGTTTTCTTCTTGTCGTGAAAAATTTCGCAACTGATGAATTAATGGATTTCAGTACTTGAAGATGACAGAATTCGCTAGAAGACTACTACTTTTATTTATTGTTCAAATCTAATTTTATTCGACTGATATGTGAGCCTAGATTTCACCCAAATTTTCGCTTTTTCAGATGAATTCATGACAACATTTTATTACTTATTATATGGAATCATTTCATTCTGTCACGTTTGTCTGTCGATACTGTGTACTTCCTTGTGACATTGTGTTCCGTACCAGTCCCGAAACCAGTGATCAATCTTTTTGTTATGCAAAAGGAATAGATAGAATCTACCAATTTATTTGATCGAAAACCAATATATTTGAACAAAATGTAAAATTGCTTCCTTGTTGAATTAAATATGAAGGATATAACAGTCAGTTAATGCATCTGTCATTTTGAATTATCGAATGAATTCAATAATTCACCAGTAGGCTAATTCTTCTTCTTCTTTTCGTCGTGGTGAACATTTAAATGCAGTAGAGCAGTACCATAACCAACCGTTCGGTAATAGTATTCAAATTTGAAAATGGCAACGTGCAGACATGAGTCATGCTGGTGGTGGTGGCAACGAAGCGCAATAAATTAAAAAGGCGTAGCAATAGACTACTAGGCCAGTGCTCGTCAACCGGGTGTATAGTACACCCCAGGGTGTACCAAAAAGTTCAAAGGGTGTACCACATCGATAGGGTGTACGAGAGATGTACCGTACCGAATGCTGTAGGGTACACATTAACACATGATAAGCTAATTGCATACGATATGGCAATGGTATGTAATACCTATCTAACTGACCTATACGTGCTTATTTTTGCATAACGTATGTCTGGCATTTCTGATATCTACTTATGCTGATTTAAACGTCACAATACCATTTATAGCAGTTTGATACTTTTTTGCGTACGGTATGTATCAAGTCTTGCGCTCTGGTGGACATCGATGTTTGTTTTTAAGTTTAAGAAACTGCGCGTTCTGTTCGACAAACTACTGTGCGATCATCGGCGACAAAATGCTAAGGAAAATTATAGGAATTATTTGGCAACCCAAATTTCCAAATTAGATTTCCTATTTATTATTATCTCTTGACGGTTTTGATCGTCCTTATCGCCGACATATAATAAAAAGTGAACAATATCTTCACTACTGGCTTCGGGGTCGTTGTATTATTCTGTTGTGTTCATGTTATTTTGCGTTAAATACAATAAAACTCATGAAATGTCGTCTCTGCGAATCGGTTAAAAATTATGATAAAATTGACTTAATTAATGGCGTTTTTCCATATTCAAATTTATATATCCTTTCGGAAATCGTAGAAATGTTGCCTTGTGAGTAACTTGTATTGATGTTTGATTGAGCACAACCTGCTCATTTGAGAATTGAAACAACATTATGTAGCAACTAAAAACAAAAAACATTATAACGTGGATATAACACTCAATTTTAACGTATTTGTCTGTTAGCGAAAAGTGTCCGCAAATCCGCAAGTGCGTTGTGCTGTACAAGCGTTTGATTCATCCCCGCGCAAGTGACGTCCCATGTCCAGGCCACCTGTTACCAGACATTCGAACAGTAAACTGCAAATATGACACTCAATTTTGACGTCTTGGCTGGTGTTCAAGTTCGTTATAAACGATTGCGGGCCGCAATGAATTTCCTCGTGTGAAAGTGGCCCGCGACACTAAAAATGTTGGAGGTCCTGATGCAGATTCTCTAATGCAGTGGTTCTCAGCCGAGCAGCTTTGAATCATTGCAACAATTAACTCTCGAGTTATGCCAGCAACGCTTTCTTTTTATCGTTCATTTCATACTGTATGTATTCGCTGAACGAGTTTATAGTACTACCATAAATTGAAGCGAGACGGGCATGTTTTCGCCCGTGTTGCATTTCACGTCCAAAATGCATTGAAAAACGGCAACGAATGGAGCGTTCAACGGGAATGGTCGGCGCGTAGTAAGATGATAGCTTGATAGCGGTTTCATACATCATCTGTTATATGTGTTGATTAATAAA